AAAAAAATTGTCTTTCTGTGCTTTCGGCAGCTTGTAAGTGTGGCAAAAAACAGCAAGTTGCTTACTATACGCGTTAAGCGAGATATTGGCATCATTGTTGCATTCTGTCAAATGTCATATTTTCGAAAATGTCAAATCTTTTATATACAGACATAATGCAAACTACATTTTGTATAAAAATAAATAATAAAGCTAAAATTAAAAATTAAAATGAATAATGAACTAAAAGCAATATTCAGAATGCAAGAAATTTTGAAATTCCATTTTGAAACAAAATTAAAAAGAGTTTAGAATAAATATGACTTAATAAGTATAAACTTGTTAACAATTAATAGGTTAAAAATTTAAAGCACATTTCAATTATACGTTTCTCTAAAATTTAAATATAATTTGTTTGCATTATGTGCACATATGCCAGAGTTGCTATTTGCGAAAACATAACACTTGACAAATTGCAACACTGATGCCAATGTCTCGCGTTGCAAATATAGGCAACCATGCATATTTTGCCATACTGGCGAGTGACAGAAGAGGCCAATTATAAAATGTATTTAATTCTTTGTTTCAAAATTCATATTCAGATTTAAAAACGTTCACTTACTGTTGAAAAACTTGCAAAATAACCGATAGATCAAAAAATCATGTAAGACATAATCTCTACATTTATTTTAATTCCATATATAGTTAAATATCTTAAAGCGATGTACAGATGACCTGTTAACATAAGATCTGGTTAGATACAAATATCTTAAAATTAAAAATTATAAATTTCTTATCTATCTTTATTTAATTTTTATAAATAACTACATATTTTAAAAAAAGTAAATATTGTACATCTATGATTTTAAACTATTCAAAAATATATGCCTTCTTTTTATTATATTTTTATAGTGCTGACTGGAATATAAATTATGCATTATTGCTTAAGGCTCTTAAAGAGTTGGCAACTCTAAACATTTTGATTGTAGGTATGCAACCATTTGCAAGGTACACAGTGGTTCAAAATACGAAAAAGTTGAAGAAAATTATAATAAATAAAATTGATTATCTACGTTTGCGCGAGTCTTAAAATCACTTTTAAAATTGTTTTTAAAATTAGTTTTCAGAGCGTTTACGTATAAGGATTAAAAGCACTTTTAAGGTAGCTGTCAATCAGTTATTTAAATATCTAAAAAATGGATAGAGTATAACTACAAATTATTTTACTTTTATTGCAAAAAAAAGATATTGTAAGCAAAATAGTAGAAAAAAATAAAATTAAGACAGCAATAAACATTTTAGGAATACTTTACAATACTACGAGAAATACGATTATAACTATTTAATAAAATGGCAATATTTCCGACTTCCATTCCTTGTCCAAATTTTATGAATTGTGTACTTTTCATATTTCTTTGCCGTCCAACAATTCTCTGTCTTTCTTCCTCTATAATGAGATATTATATTAATTTTAATACAGCTGTATTCCATTTTTTGAGAACAATGTATTATTTATTGATGTACTTTACTTAATCAACAGTGTTGTGGTTCTTGCAACTTATAAGCATATACATATGTGTATAAGCTGTTATAATGAAGTTTCAGATGAATACGCTTGATCAGTTGACCTTTGCCTAAAGTAATATGCTCACATATAGTATTTTCGATTTCAATACCTATGCACCTACGTTTACAATACCTAAAAAGTTCAAATTTTGACACTTGAAGATACTTTTAAAAAAGGCATCTAAATAACATTTATCTTTTGATTAACACTGCACAATTAAATGTAATTTTAATTTTTTTTATTCTTCTCCTTTTGACAGTTTTAAATGTAAGATAATGTAAGATAAAATTAAAATTTTTACTGTGTGAATATGCAAAATGAGAGCAATGAGAAAGCCAAACAACCAAAACTACAATTACTCGTGGTATGTAGTACTATGTATGTTAGTAAGTTATTGGTCTAAAAATTGAAAATCTTTAAAATTATAACACAAAAACTAATATTGATAACTCAAAAATAATGAATTTTTTTTTTAAATCCTATTTAAATTTATTTTTTTATTGTTAATTAATTGTATATATAAATTCTTATGTTATACCAGAGAAATTCATGTCTTACATTGTTAAATTTTGCTCAATCAATTTCTTATTTAAACCACTGTACGGAATTAGGATACACATAGTGCATATGTGTATATGTTTTCATATATGTACATATATTTATATTCTCATGGTGTCAAGCAGATTACACATTTTGTATACGTATGTATGTCCGTACGTGCTAAGTCGAGTAGGCAGCTGTTGTCCTTGCAGCTTGTGTATGTAGAAATTATTTTTGCACAAATTAGTTTATTGATTAGGGTCTAAAACTAGAAATATATTACATACATATATATGTATGTACATATATTATTGTAGAGAACTGCTGCGGAAATATGTATCATAAAACTGACCCAGCTTCCAACCGCTAGGATGGACAGACGGAGAAAAAAGTTTAAAAATAAAAACATTTAGATACATATATATGTACATATATGTAGATATACATATATATGGACGTGTGTTTTTAGTAAAAACAATTTAAACTTGTTAGAAGTTCCATCTAGACAATAAAGCTCAATGTAAACTATAAAATATCGAAGGATATACATACTTATCTACACATGCACATTTGTATGTATGTACGTTATCACATAAATAATTATTCATAACTAGTATGTATATGGAATTCTAATAAACTTAAAATAAAATTAACTACTTTTACTGTTAGTTACAATCTTCTGTCATTGCGTCTACTCTGCAATTTTTTTTTTAATTTGAGATTCACATTAATTCATGAGAACAGAAAACAACAACAAATGATAAAAAACAGTAAACAAAAGAGTAACAATTGGAGTAAACAGCCGCTTGTACTTTTCAATTGGCATATCAAATATTTGAATGCGAACAGCATAACTAAAGAAGATAGCAAAAGACGCCATAAATAGGAAAAAACAACAAAATAGTTATAAAGCATGCACATGCAATTTGGCTATACACCATGAACATTGCTAGACGCAGGAACGTCCCCGTCAATATTCTGTTCTTTTTTACTTTCTTGTACAGTGCGGTGGCGGCAACAAAATATTGTTTCTTTTTTTGTTATTGTCTTTTTTATGTTTTGATTTACAAACACATTGTTTTACTTTGCAATTTTCTATGCCTTATTTTTCGCGGCATTTTCCCGCAAATTTTGTTTCCTCCAAAGAAAAAAGAAAATAAATTTTAAAGTAAATGTATGGATTGAAATTTTTTTATAAATAATTTATGAAAAGGAACTGTTATTGAGGAAACTATAGCTAAATTGTAGCGCCTAATGGTGTGTTTGTTTAACCTTTATGTCAATAGCAGAACTGGTTTACGCACGTCAACAGCAAAATACCTGGGTATGTACCTTCTGCTCAAAAAGTATCCGGATTTTGTTGTTTGTTAATTACTCCTTAAGTAATAGACCTTTTTCAAAAATTTATTTTTGGTATGTTGGTACGCGTTCTCTTGACATATAATAAAAATTTGAGCGCCATCTGTCGATTAGTTTGTTTACAGCAGCTGTTAATGTGAGACTACCTCAAGTGCATTTAGCGATTTTTACTATGGAAAATTCTTGTTGTTGACCAAACACGATTTTTTGACCAAACACGGTACCACTGTCATCGCTCAGGCACCATATTCGCCAGATCTGGCGCCGTGCGACTATTTCCTATTCCCGAAACTCAAATTGCACCTTCGTGATAAGAGTTTTAAGTCGATTGTATCGGTAAAAGAGAATTTGCCGAAGGAACTAAAACCCATACCTGCACGGGCCTACGAAAAGAGTATGGAAGATTGAGTTAAGCGTTGGCATATGTATATCGCTTCAGAAGGATCATATTTTGAAGGAGATAAAATAAATTTGGAATAAAATTTAAATTTGTGTGTTTTATTTACAAAATCCGGGTACTTTTTGAGCTGGAGGTACATACATTTTGTATGGGAAATGGCATGCTGTAAGCATATCTAACTCGTTTGTTGGGATTTTTGAATTTTTTTTGTATTTTGTTAGAAAGAGACAAAAGGTTCAAAATCAGTTTTACTCTAGCATTTAGTTATTCTTTTTTGAAAAAGTGGTATATATAGATAGACACACGTAGAAACATCTATATGATAGAAACATGTATTGAGTCAGAAATATCATTCTTTGTAGTTTCGTCAGCAAATTTAGTTTGCATTTGTGATTCGAAGTGAAAAGGCGTTTCTGTTTATTTTGTGGAAATAAAAAAAAAATATTAATAAAAGTGAAATGGCAGATGGTGAATGGCTTACTCCACGGCAGCTCAGCGCACTTTCGTACGAAGAGCAACAATCATATATTCGTCAAACGCTTGAAGAGAGCCAAGAAGAAATAACTGACCAATATTCAATAGCTGGTGACAATGCTTTAGGTGAATGTGTAGGTGATATTGATGGTGATGACTCAGACGTTGAAGAACCCACGTTACCAGAATATGACCTATATGACGACAGTGATTCTGATGAAGAACTTGAAGATGCACCAATTAATACTGGCGAATGTTTTACTGCCAGAGATGGTAATGTTTGGTCTTCGATACAACCACAACCGCACAACATTCTAAGGAGTGCACAATCTGGACCAGTACGGGCAACGCAAGGTTTGAGCATTGCAGAAACGTTCAAATTGATAATGTCAGATGAATGACATTGCAAAACATCCAACAAGAGAACCGAGATCCTGGATTCCCATAACAAAAAGTGAATTTGATGCATATTAGGGCCTATTTTTGCTAAGTGGCGTTACACATTCTGGTTACGTGCATACGAAAGATTTATGGAAAACTACATCACTTCCATTATATCGTGCTGCAATGAGTGTACAACGATTTTGAGAAATAAGCCGCTTCATACGTTTTGATAATGGAAACACACGCCAGCAACGCAAACAAACTGTCAAAGCAGTAGCAATATCGGACGTTTTCTTGATGCTAAACAGCTGTCTTCGTAGATACTACGTGGCAGGAGTCAACGTCACCGTAGATGAACAATTGTATGCTTATCGTGGTGGAACTGCCTTCACGCAATACATACCATCAAAACCTTCCAAATATAGGATAAAAGTGTGGTGGGTGTGCGAATCCATTACGTCCTATCCATTGCAGGTAAAATCAATATTTTTGAAAATCTAAATAACTAAATGGAATTTAATTTTTCAATGCAGGGACAAATCTATACAGGAATGGCACGGTCTGGTGAACGTGAAAGAAACGTTGGCGAAAGAGTAGTAAAGGATTTATGTGTCAACCTTTTTGGTGGAAGTGGAAGAAATATTGTATGTGACAACTTTTTCACCTGCTACAACTTGGCAAAATCTTTGATGATAGACAACAATTTATCTATATTGGGTACTTGCAACAAAAACCGTACATTCGTGCCGGCAGCATTTGCCAACCCCAAAGGACGTAGGGCTGAATCATCAATGTTTGGGTTCTATAATCACATTACGATGTGCTCGTACATGCCCAAGAAAAACAAAGCAGTTGTAATATTGTCCACTACTCATTATACAACAGAAACGGCCGGTCTTAAGAGAAAGCCATTGCTTATATTGGACTACAACAAAACCAAAGGTGGCGTTGATAACATGGACAAGTGCTTGTCCGAATTTAGTACCAAGCGGCGTACAAATAGATGGCCTTTGGCTTTCTTTCTAGATGGCCCAGGTATGTGCACATATGTACATATATGTATGTATATATGTAGAGGAATCCACATAGAAGGAAATGGAACAAAAATGTCCATCTTTAGTAGACATTTCTTCATTTCCTACAACTTTGTCCCTACGATTTGCATTATAAACTTAAGTTTAGATTTAAGTTAGATTTCAATCCCTTTAATCTTAAAGTATCCTACCGATGACACGATGTCGATTTTGATGATGTTTATACAAAATAAGTTTGTTGTATCAATACATGACAAGTAGACAAAATACTTTTTGAAAGATTGTACATACATACATATGGATGTATGTATATATTCTCTTCAGGTACGTCTTCGTTTAGGTTATTTCTGTAAGAATAGATAAATTAATTTAAAAAATAAAATTAATTAAAAAAAATAAATTAATTAATTTTGGATATTTGAATACCCATCAGATATAGTATTGCTTATATTCCCTTGGCATGTCTTTGTCATATAACTATACTTACATACTTATATTTTTAACAGTTTGTTGCTAAACTTTGCGAAACTATTAACTGAATTTTTAGGTTAGGTTATACCGGCAATCCTAGGTGGGTCCCCTTAGGCCTATAGACCCATTGTGCACGGAATATTTAAGATTGTTTATTTTAAAAACTTTAAATAATTTTATAATAATGTATAGAAATATTTTGAATTTCTTTCTATCTACATTCATATATACATATACGTATGTATGTATGTATGTATATCAAGTTTTTTGAAATCTTAAATGTATACTTTTGCACCAATAATGAAACGAAATTATATTTCAAATCAATTTTTGTAGGATTATTACATAAATTAAGAAGTCCAACATTTGTTAATAAAACACCGTTGTAAAAAATTTCTTTTTATTAACCTACGTTAATTTTTGTGATCCATACATATGTACATATGTATATATTTGCTTACTTACTTAAATGTGCATAATAACCCGCTACTAGTATTCGTCCTGACGCAGTACTCTACTCGATACGCCTGAAATGCAAAGGTTAGCATTTCTTTAACCTGATTACCTCACCGGATACACGGCCTACTCGTATGTCTTCTCCCACCAAATATCGTCTCAAATACATTTATCGCTGGAGCGCTCTTATCCATTCTCACGACATGACTAACCCAATGAAGCTGGTGTATGTTAATACTATAAATTTGATAAATATCGTGATAAAGCTCGTACAGCTCATAATTCATACGGATGCGGTAGTCGTCGCCAACTCATAATGGACCAAAGTTCTTATGAATAACTATTCATATACACATACATACATATATGAATGTATAGATATTAATATATACATATGTATGTACATGCATATATGAATGTAGTAAATATTATTTAATATGTAAACTTAATACATAAAGACTATGTATAAATAATATATTTATATTATACAATATATGTATGTATTATTATATAATAATATTATTTGTAAAATTATTATTTATTAAAATTGAAATTTTCATATGTACATACATATATACAAATATATTCATTATAGTTCATGTATGTATGTAAATAGTTTCTTGCATAATATACATTTTTTGCCGTATTTAATGTATTTACTTGCGTGAATTAAAATTAATAGGTATATACATAACTATGGCATACACATACATATATATGTACTTATATATGTAAAAATTAAATTAATTTTTTTTAAATTTTATTTTGACAATGGCAACCCTAATAAGGATTAATTTACACATGTATGTCTTTTGCAAAAATAATTTTAGGAAATGTGCACTTTCTGATGTGCTGCTTTCTTATTTCCATAGGTACGCAGTAATTAGATATAAGAATATCATTTTAAAGTGGCAGCATTCTCAATAATTTTTAAAGAATGTACATATGTATGTATGTGTGTATGTATATATTTTTCTTTAAATACAACAAAAGAAAAACAAAAACCATAAACAAGTCAATACAAAATTTGATTCACTAATGCTGACAATTGTTATAAAAGAGCAGAGAAGAGGAGGAGAGTAAAATTTATTCATATATTGCATATCCAATTCTCTATTAAAAATTTTGCATTTATCATACAAATTTGCATATGTGTAATATAACACACACACATATGCAGTCGATATAAATCCTAGCAACTATAATACATCAAATTTTGCTTTACTCTTTCTTTGCATGTTTATAGTGTGGTGCTATTTCGTTTATCAATAGAGTGTGTGTGGCACGCGTAAATATTAATTGTTGCAATTATTGTGTCATCTTCACAGTTCGTTTTCAGGTTTGGTGCGTGTTGAACGTGAAAAGATTGAAAAAAAGCGTCCTTTCAAGAAGTAAAGTGTGTGCCATTTAAAAGTTTTGTGTGCCAAATTTTAAGAATAATTTCTTTTAAAGGTAATTGGCACGTGATTATTATAAAACTTATAAATTTATTATCCATTATAATAATATACATATATATAATGTGTTCGAGATGTATATATATTTATAATTTTTTTTGTTATTTCTTATTGTATATGAATAAATGAAGTTCCTTTTTATTTACATATGTACATATTTAAATTAAAGCATTGAAATTAGTGTATATTTTTGTTTTGCTGTTTTTAATAATTATACATGAAATATTGTATTAATTTTTTTTTATTAAACTTTTCTAATTAAAAGTAGATATAGGCGGCGTCAGAGTTGCCAAGGTACTTATTTGGTAAAAAGTGTTTGAAATATTTTATTTGTTTATTAAAGCAACTTTTGCATAAATGTATATAAAAAAATATATGTATATGCTATATAATAATTATTAAAAAAGCAATTAATAAGCAAACATTTAATATGTTTTGGATAAATATTAGACAATTTAATTGTCTGTTAGATATGCTTAGATTTTTTTTAAAATAAGCTTTATAATTTTCTATATCAAATTTTTTTTTTTTCATATTTGGAACAATGACTTTCTAATACTGTTTTTACAAGCAACAAATCTTCATTAACCCATATCCGCCCAAGGATTTTTTTTTTGGAATTTTTGGTCTAAATGTTTTTTTTTTTAAGTTTAATTAGTAAATTGGTGTGGGGTTTGGAGTGAAATTACAAATATTTTTGTAAAGCTAAAGCTTCATACATTTAAAGTAATGACATATATAAACTATTAAAGTTTTTCTAAAATAAAAAAATAATATAAAAAAAAAATCCATGGAAAGTGGTGAAATTTGTTGTTCGATTAATTGAACATTGGGCGGATATGGATTAATTAATATTGTTGATTTAATTTTTTTTAACTTCACTTTAATGTTAGGAAAACTTCGTCTTTAATTAAAATAACATTCTGTACTATATTCTATATACAACCAACAAACACGTTTTTTAAAAGTGTGTTGTTTCAAAAACACTTGTTTTTCATATATTTTTTTATTTATTTTGATTTACTTTTAGTGCAACATAATCTAATACTCTCTATTGTATATTTTATGTAATTAAATGAGATCCAAAGTTAATAGTGTGTATGAATATACAATATTTTGTTTTCTTTGTCAAAGCAAACAGTCAGAAACATTTGCATATCAGTTAAGTACAGTACATTGTCATAAAAAAAACACATTTATATCAAAAGAAAAATTATTAAAACAGAAGTGAAACAATGCATGGTTTTAAAAATATGAACAGAAATATTGTATTGAAAATTAATAATATCAATTATATCACATTGTCAAGTAATAACATACAATAATCACCATTACTAAAGTAAACACTTCTGTTTACAATTTTAGTTAATGCAATTAAAGTCAGGCACATGTTTTAGTGCTGCATTTGCAGTAGATTAGTATTTTGCATTATATAGACATACATATTTCTGAAAGAAAATCTAGTTTTTCAGTGCCAAAAAATACGTTCATATGTATGTTAATTTAAAAGCGAATTAATTGTTAAAAAAAAAAACTTAAGTGTTAAGAATACTGGATGCAAGCAACGGAATTTGTCCTAATCAGTTAACCTTTCGTAACCAAAGAAGCCAACTTTCACCCCTTAGCTGACTGAACGACAGCAGCATGCTAAAGTGCACACATGCTCTTTTAAAGGGTGCCTATACCTAATAGTCATTTTGCCTTATTAAAAACGCTAAAGTAAGTGAACGCACACAACACAGCTAGCTTGGCTCGGCTTGGCTTCGTATTGTTTGATTTGTATATATGTAAGTACGAGTAGGATACCACAAAAGCAAAGCCACACACATCTTATTTACTTAACTACCCTATAGGTAGGCATTATATTGATAAAAACACACATTGTTACAAAGTTATTCAATTGAGTATATTTTTGTTTTTTTATTTGAAAAATTACTGACTGACAGGAACGCACGCTTACACGCATTTGTTGTTGTTGTTCTTTTTCTTCTTCAGGCAGATTAAAACAAACTTGTGTGTGCAAAGCAAAAGGAAAGTAAACACGACGCCAAATGATTTTATAGTCAAAATACTGTACGAAAATCGCGTGTGTTTATTGCTTTTGTCTGTTTTTCCTGCCAGCAGCATGTCTTTTTGTTGCTGTGCCTAATTTAGTAGTATTAATTTATATATATACACACATGTATGCATTGTGAGACTTTTACGTTACTCTATTTATACCACAAAATTTTGTCTGTTCAGTTTAAATGATTCACTAAATATTCCAATAAATGATGAAAGCTAAAGTATTTAAAAAAAAAGCTTATACTTAATAAAAGCTTTATGTGTTAAGCTAAGTAAGACCACTTCACCGCATGTATTCCCTGTTGTGTGCTGTTATTATTTTCAATATTTTGCATTGTGTAAACAAAAATAAAATGTAAAAAAAAATAATTTTTTTTATTATATTTGAAAAAAATATGTGCTGTTCTGTTCTGTTCTGTTCTCTACTATCTGGTTTAAATTGATAAGAGCGTTTGAGTAACGAAAACGTGTTGTTTAATGTTACAGGGTGCAAAACTCTTCATCACAGCATATGTCTTTTAAATTTTTTTATATCTGTCTCTTGATACTTAAATTTATACTTAAATACTTAAATTTATATGCAAGTTAAATTATCACAAAAATTAACAAGTTGCTTTAATTAATGAGTGATGACAATTTATTTTAATAAAAATTAATTGAAATTTCTTAAAAATCTGAAAATGTATTTTATAAGAATTTTAAATCGATCAAGTTATCTGGAATGCCCCCATTTGACGTGGAATTTTTTTAAAGGCCATCTATAAGATAAGATCTATAAGAAAGCCATAGTTACCTTAAATTTGAAATTGTTGTATTTAATGAAAATTTATTTAATTTAATTTAAGAAAGATAGAAATTTCGATTTAAAATTGGTCACGGCTTTATGAGTTTCGTCATGTTGATCAAAATAGTGTTGTTCGATCAGTATAAAATGTCTGAATTCGCTTCTATTAAAAGTAAATAAATGTATTTTTGCATATCAACACAAAATTAAATATCTTTTAAATTTAGGCACAAAAACATACTAAAATAGTAGGAAATCGGCAATTATAATATGACTGGCTCTCTGCATTACAAGCCTTTTGGTCATGACTAAAAAGAGCATAAAATTACCAGGATCATATGTTAGGTTAGGTTGGTGTGGCGGTCATACGCCTGTTAGAGGCGAGTCTATAAACTATAAAGTGTTTAATTTTGTAGGATGACAACTTAGTCAGGTCGGTAAGAAAAGGGTCCAAAATTTTTTAAATCTTTTCTTATCTAATGATGAGCATAGCAATATAAAACCAATGCATGCATAATATTTTTCTTCTGTTATTTTTTAAAATTTTCTATCCTACATTTATATGTGCACTTTATACTTAATGCCAAAAAGATACTGGATAATCTGTAAAATTCATTAAGTGTAGTAGAACATTCATCTGAAATGAATGCACTGAAATTAATTTTCAAAAATTACTCACGTGTAGCAGGCCCCCTGCTATGTGCTATAGGTAGCTAGAGGCATTACCTAAAAATTTGCAGATCAACTAAACAATTATAAATAAATATTTTTTTTTCTGCTGTAAAATAATTTTAAAATCATATTTTAGAATATTATGATGCTCTATAGTCTCTAGAAAATTGTAAATATTTTGAATAATCACCCTGTATTATGTTGTTTTCATATGTGTATTTGCACTACTATATATGTGTAAGCACAAAGAACTACAGATTCAAAATACTCTGACCGGCCTGGCCTGATGGCTCTCGTTGACATCGCATATCAAAAGATAACCAAGCAGAATAAGAAGCACATGTGAAAAAATTCAAATTAATTGCTGTAAAAGTAATTGGGTGCTTGGCAGATATATAATCCGACATAGGTGTATCAGATACAAGTGTGAAAATATATTTGTGTATCTAAAGCGATAATACGAGTAGTTTGAATAAGAATGGTATTACAAGTGTTTATTGGGCCATTATAGGTAGGTATACATATCACAGATTATTTATAAATATGGTTTACAAGAAAGATACGGCAATTGATATTGAGAACTGAAACCTGTTTTAAAATTTACATACGTACATATATTAGTTTGCAATTATGAAATATTCATAAGCATTACCAATATCAATATCAACAGCAAAAGTTAGTAATAGCAAAGAGATTTGATCACTGTAAAAATGATTAACAGACAGACCGTCCCGACAATCATCATTTACTTATACTTCCACTATAGTAATAATTTCTTTTTTAAAGCGCTTACAATGTGCTCTGCCCATACGTATCGTGTGGTTGGTAATGTTCTTCATTTGTAGAATAATTTACCTTACCACCTTTGCTTCACTTTACATACAATGGTTCCTTTACGGTTGAAATAATCTATACATAAAACTAGACTAATTGTGTTTCGTTTATAACACATAAGTTTTAGAAAAAAATATTCTGTTTGTCTTTACTGAGGACTTGACTTGACTGGACTGGGCTAACGCATATCAGCGCTTTCTTATCAAAATCGTTCAAAAGTTAAAAAATGTATTCAATATATTTATTTACTTTTTTGTTTAAAATTATATTTTTGTGTTGCTTTAAATGAAATGTATCAACGATTACGAAATATTTAGTATGATTTAAAAACATTGTTTTCTCAGATATTGCGGTATGTGATTAAACTGATAAAACATAACTTTAAAATAATAATATAAAAAAATGTTTTTTTTGGATATAGTTTATTCTTTATTAATTTTGAGCTATAAACCTAGTTTTAGTTCTTCAGAAGAGATTTTACACATTATGTCTTCAAACTAATATCTTTTCTATACTATATTACGCTATATATTTCATATTATGTTAAATATGAAATTGTGGTTTTAATCAAAATCATACTAAAATTAAATATTTATAGAAAAATAAGAAAGAATAGAAATCGGTGTCCTTATTCTATAATTTTATTCAAAATCAAGCTTAAATTAGAGATTTATTAATAAAAAAGTGGGCATCCTTATTAAAAAGCAATATTGTAACATATATTTGGTGCAGTAGTCGACACTTTGATCTAGAGCACACAATTTCATTTATATATAACAGCATTGAAAACTTCGGCCTAAGAATTTTTATATATAATAATAAAATCTAAAGAAATACTATAGACATATTTATATTAATATTTTTTTAACATCCGTATTTGATATCATTAATACCGTACACCTCAACAAGAAAAAGAAAAGTTGTACATAAAATTGGGTTCTGATGCTATATGTATATTTTTTTATATAAAGATATGGATAATATACATATGTATAAGGATGGACAGACATGTATATATATATATATATTTATATACATATAATTCTACATTTAAGGCTCGTTTTATAAAACATTCATCTTATATTAAGCCTAAGGTTTACCTATACTTTGTTTTATTTTTTAAATCAACAAATATAAAAGAGGTTAATATTCATTATATTGTTATTAACTTATTAAATAGTGATTCCGTAAAAGGCAGTACGGTATGTAGAGTAATGTGAAATTCTAATAATAAGACAATTTTTTTAAAAATTGAAATCTAATTTTTTTAGAAATACTAAAAATTGTTTATTGTTCATTGATGATAAAAATGAAATATTTGATTGGTTATTATGAAAGTAATATATTTATATTTTTATAAATATTATCCATTAATATTTAAGAACAAATAAATGATATATCCATTAACAAATAAGTGATAAAAATATGTTTGGTCTATCATAATATTTTTAATTGTAGTGTGCATTGTAAAGTGTGTGTGATGCACACAAAATTTTTGGATATCGTACTAGTTTATTCCAGAAAAGCGCACATGTCATATTAATCTTTGCTTGTGTTATGTGTAGCGCAGAGCAATGTGTACGCTACACACAAGCAAATCAATTGTTGATGACCAAGTAATCAGATTATTTAACTATATTAAAATCATTAGTGTTTAAGGGTTTATGCTATAATGTTATAAGAGTCAGTGAACAGTCAAGCTAAAAGCACTGCAAAATAATATAATAAATAAAAAAATAAGACACATCCAATTTTAAGCGGTATAGAATATAAAGACACTAATATTCATTAATTAAAAATAAAAATTCTGTACTGATATTATTGTTAAATGCCGCTTGTATTCTACCACCAATATTTTGGGTACCTTGATTTTATTACTAACTACACTGCCGGTGTCATCAATTCACATTGTACAGAACAGAACAGAACTATTGAAATAAAATTCTTAAATAAACCCAGAACTAAATGAACCCACGGCATAAACTATACTAGTAACAAAAACAAATCATTAATGACTAACGACAAAACGACGAATGACAAACGACAAAGCAGCAACCACATATCGCATGGAGCGCGACGACTTTTCAAATTTACCGCCAAACAATGTTATTTGTACTTTTGTGCCGACTGTACTCAAGAAACCCAAGCAGCATTCTGTATGGAAAAACTCAAGAAACCCACTTAAATTGTCATATATTGATTTATTTTTATTTATATATATTTATAAATTTTTTTATATAATAGATTATGTTTTTCTTTTCAATAATACGTATTTACTTTAATTATTTGAATAGTACTTTAGTTTAAACAATTAAAATTAATTTTTGAAGTTTCTACAATTTATAAACTTTTTACTCACATTTGTGCTCAGAGCAGACGACGCCTTCAGTCTTGTACGAGCATTCAACGGGTAAACAGCTTTGGAAACGGTTAGTAACAACAAGAATATTTTTCCTTAGCTGATTTAATTTCTTTTTTTTTTTGTTGTTGTTTCCTTGTTACTTTGCTACATATACGCAATATAATCAAAGCGTTAAGCCAAGAAAGAGGCAGCTATATATGTATATATAAAGTCGCATAAAGTTGATTGTGTTCTGTTGTGTGTTTGTGAGCGAAACAGCAAGAGTTTTGAGTTCGTTGTACAAATTTAATATTTTAAACACTTCGGTAACGAAGAACTCGACAGTCTACTTTTGAAATTTGTTGTGTTAGCATCGTCGTTTCGGTGAAGCGTGCGTAAAAAAAAAAGATTAAGAAAAAAACGACAACTATTAGCAATTTAAATTTATTTATTCAGAAAATATATGTAATTAAATTAAAATAACTAATTATCATAAAAAAATTAAAAAATATTTTAAAATTTCTCAGTTTAATTGACGAAAACAACTAATTATAAAAATGTCGGCTGTTGAAACTAATAATGGAGATTTAGCAGTGGAGAAGACTGCCGGCGATGCCGTTGACGCTGCTGCCGCAGTCAAAGAGGATTTAAAGAAACCTGCAGTTGAAGAGACTTCAGCAGCAGCTACCGCTGATAATGGCAACGCCAAGGATGCGGAGGCCGACGAAGATGAGGGTACTGAAACAGCACCGGTTAAAGAGGTTAAAGGAACAAAACGTCCGGCAGAGGTAAGTGAAACAAAAAACAAAAATATCTAAAGACAGTGTATAAAGTAAATAAGAAAAATTATTAAAGAAAAAAATTGCTGTGACAAACGTCGAAAAAATTTCGTAACAGTTTTAAAATTTCATTAAATTATCAGTTAAATACTATTTTATTTTAATTTGCATAAAATACTATAATTTTTTTTTGCTGTTTACAGCTATTGTACAGAAAAAAAGTAGAAACGAGTTAGTTAAATGTGCTATGCCAATAAGTTTATTGAGTAAAGCGACGCCGACGCCATGATTCATAATAATAATAATATACGTCAGGCATTCATTTTAATTTTAGATGTTGCTAATAGATTAAATTTTATTTGTTATTTAAAGGTTACTGCTTTAAAATTTATTAAATATTATTTTCATAATGTTCTAGAAATATTTTGTATACAGAAAATAGTGATCCATGTAAGCGCGCGCATTTTAATTCTTTTGATGCTTCAAAGAAAAGTAGGTAGTAAAGAGTCTGTTGTAAAGTGTTTTCTCACGCACACAAGTGAGAGAGAAGAAGAGAAAAAACAAATTACAAACGGACGTTTACTGCAATTAAGAAGTGGGGAAAGCAAAGTAGTAGAAGAGGACAGTACAAGTAGTTTGTTGTAGTACGCACCAATTTTTGATAATTCTCTGATTAGTAATTTTTTAATTTGTTATAAAATTCTAAAATAAGCAAAGCAATACTACAAAATAAGTTTTACGCTAAATATGATGAATTTCTGTTTCTAAATATAATTTTCTATATATCCAGTTTTTTTCTTTTTGTATTGATGTGTGTTTTCAATTTATAGTGCCATTGAGAGCAGAGCCTAACTATTTTTTCATATGCCGCCATTACCGAAAATCAATAATGGTTTTTTTTTTTTTCAATGGTTCCATAGATTTTTTTTTTATTCATTAACATTTAATGTTAATAGTAGTGGGTTAAATCAATTTTGCTTATAAATTAACATATTTTTATTTCAACTAGAATTTTATGTAAGCAATATTTCATAAAACAAAAAAATACTTGTCACATTTAGTGTGGCACAATTTGTAGATAAGAGACGACAGTATATGTACATACACGTTTACCCCACACATTTCTGCAATAAAATGTGTTTTTCAAACGATAGTAAAATCATATTAATCCGCATATTATTTGAAATTATAAATATTATATCTCATTGCAATGCTTGTTTATTTTATTGTAATAATTAATACAATAACATTTGCTAGAAGTAATTTGTTTTTTTTTTAATCGTTTAATCATAAATATAAAGAACAGATCTGAATGTAATTCACACATTAAAAAATAACATTTTAATATAATTTTTATAATGACTGGTATAAATTGTTAGCAATAGTTTTACAGTATCTGCTGCTACTACATTTATATATTTTTTTATTACACATACACTTTTTAAAAATTGAGTGGCTGCGACGCGCGCAAAAATTCACATTTAGACCGACCAACACCGGCCGGTGTAGCTTCCACACACACATATATATATACATATAGATGTATGTGTGTATTTTATGTTGTATAGATGTAGTTAGTTGATGGCATACAAGTGTTTAACGTTTCGTGTAAAAACCAGTTTTGATTAATTGTTTTGTTTTCCTTTCTTAACTAATATTTAGTTTTTTTTTATTCTACTATTTCTTTTACAACAGCACCAATGCAATAAATTTATTAATGAATTCAGTGGAATAAACAAGTACTACAATAAAAGTATTTTCTCTCAATTTGTGTACAGTTTTGTCTCTTGTGTTTTTTTTTTTTTTATTGTTTTCAGATTTGTCTTATCTCTTTCAGTACTTCATATAGCTTTCTATAAAAATATTGCCCTCTCAGTTATGTACATGATGATACATATATAATCCTTGTATTGCATAAAAAGTAATACTAAAAAGTACTTGTGAAACATACAGAAATTCAAAATAAAAACAAAAATGTTTTTATTTATTTTATTTTAGACTTGTCTTGTCTACCCATTACTTATATTTTTCCTCTCTTTTCATATTTATATTTTAATATTGCAATTCTGCAATAAATTCATTAATATATTAACATAAACTTGTTTGTGTATATATATTTATATATGTTATATATATATATACATGCTTGCATCTACTATTCAAGCGCGCATATTAATACCACCGACCCTTTAATTAAATTTCAAGTGTTCTGTACTTGTTTTTTTTTTGTCGTTCTTCTGGTATTTATTACATATCAAAATATATTATGACTTTTTTTATATATTAAAATTGTGTTAGATATTAACACAATTAAATGTTAAAATAGAATTTATTAATTCAAAATGTGGATTTTAAAATATATGAGAGTTGAACACATTTCTTTTTTTTCGTATATATCAGCTTTATTTGCTGCTTTTCCCCCTCCAGTTGCGTGGTCACCCTTACCATAAATTGCATTTATTTTTATTTTATTTTATTTTTTGTAGTATGTTCCTGAAATAGTCTGTGAGAAACTGAGAAAACACATTTCGTTTGTTTTCTGTGTTCATTTTCTCTCGTTTTTATCACGTTATTTATTTTGTGTATTCGGTTTGAAAAAGTATTTGGTGCAGGTTTGGTACAGTTTTGTTTAGATAACAATAAATATTCTAAATAGTATGATGATTAGGCTTTAGAATAAAAAAATATTACGTACGAACATTGAGAAAAATAGATTAAATAAAAAAGTGTATTATTTAAATAGACTTCAAATATAAATTTGTTTTTAGTAGATATAATAGTTTCAAGTATTTGATAAATCTTAATAAATAGTAATGGTTGTTTTTTATACTTAACATGCTTAAAATATAACTATTCTATTACTATTTTTGTAAATTTTGTTATGACATAAAATAATATTTTTTTAAAATATTTTTAATTCAATATATGTCCTATTGAATAATAATTGTGTAAATAAATACGGGTTTTTATGTCACAGGTAATCGGTACAGTAATACATATTTTCGTTATTTTTTTTCTCTTCCTTTTTTATTTTAAATTGTTTAACGCCACCAAAAGAGCGTCGCTGACAACGTTGCTGCAGCATGTAAAACAAATTGCTGCCTTTGTTCGAGTTTCTCTGTCTCTCTTTTGTGTTTATTCGTTCGTAGTCCTCCTACAAAAGTCATATTTACAAGTAGGAATAACGATTTTTTTTTTTGTTTAAATTTTTTAGTCATATTAAAAGGCCTAGAATAGAAATGAAATGAATTTTATTGCCTGCTGCTGTCATTGTAACGAAACGTGGCTGCCGCCGTCGCACACAAAAGGGATGAATATATAGCATTCAGTTGAATGTATTACGCCTGTTTCCCAATAAAACATATCCGAATGTAAGAAAAATGTATGTAGGTTCATATGCCAAACAAATAATGTTTTTCGTACGCATTTAAGTAGTAGAGTTTGTCCTTGCTCAAGGAGGATGGGTGGTATTTTGGAGCTTATCAGGAAATAAACAGATTTAGGTCTACTCTTATGTATTATAAGGAATATATACTGAAGTAGAAAAACGAAGTTTTTCTTTCTTCTTTTCTTTTAATTTTGTACTTTATTTTAAATACTGTCATAGCCCTTTTTATAGATTTAATAATTATCACCTATATTTTTAACATTTTATTTTTTGATTTTAGGCTAAATCGGCTGATTCTAAGAAAGCAAAGAAAGAAAAGGCTGCTCCCGCTGATGGTGAATCAGAGGATGAAGAAGTTCTAGAAGAAATTATGGAGGAGGGAGACAGTGAAATAGAAAGTGATGAATATGATATCCCTTACGATGAAGATGATATTGAGTGCGACGGTACGTATATATAATACATTATATAAATTTTTAAAATATTGTTTTATATATGACACAAAACCACAACTCCTCAACCCAACCTCACCTGTAACAAATGAATTTATCAGAATTGCCAATCTATAAGAATAACGACCAATGCGAATACCGTATTTGTTGCTAGTTGGCCATTCAGACGTAAGTCGTCCAGTAGCCTGCGCTAGCCAGCCATTAGTATACCATTAGATTTATACATAATAGTGACAATTAAAATATCATTAAAATGTATTCAACAATACTCATCGGATAGATATTTTTTTTAAGGGTTTTAACTCCAGATTTTTCTAATGTTCCTCATTGTGAACACTACGCAAAGCTAAAAGTCAATAAGCTTTGTTCTGAAGATATCAGGTTTGAAAGCCTTTAAACAAAGTTATACGCCGGTAGCTGTCACGTGTAGTTGATTCAATGTAAAAATTGGATATCTAAAATATACATCATATCCCTAGTACGAAAATCATGACATTTTCTTTTGTGTAATTCCACTTTCTTAAAGTGAAACAATAGTATTTATTAACTTATAAAAAACAAAAAGTCGCACCTCATCACAACTCTTAAATATTTATGAGGCTGCGTTGGGTTTAAGTGGCTCAAAAATAACGCGAATAGCACCCAAAAATATTTAGTAAATTAAATAATTTTATTTTCACAGAAATATTATTTTAAAAAAATAAATTTGAGAATGATTATTTTGTTAGCTAAACACAGGCTTTTTTTAAGTCATTTTCGATTGGTAGATATATATTTGCGCTCGATGTTTTTTTTTTAATTTTTTTTTTTTACTTGATTTTGTGACCCAATCGAATATGTTTAGGGTTATCTCTGAATATATATTGTTATCAATAAACAAAATAGCTGTTAATTTCAGGGTAATCTTGCTACTTAGACAAAATATCTAAAAATTTTTAAATTAATCAACTATTATAGATTTCATTCAAGATTTACCAATCGAAAATGAAAGTTGCACTAAAAGTGAGGAATAATGATTAAAAAATTATCCCAAATTTATCAATCAGACACAAGACAAGTTTTAATCAGTATTGCCGTTGTTATAATACAAAGTGATATACTTGTAGGAAGTAAGATGTTCGACACTTGATTGTCTGAAAAGATAAGTGACTCAGGATGTGGTCAATCGTGGTATAGTATGTCATGTCAATAAAAGGGGTGGAGATGTCACTTAGAATTTTAAGTATACTCTCCAAATGCTCTACAAATGTAAAAATTGTAAAGCTGTTTATATATACCTTTAACAAGTTCAAAAGCACCGCTTCCTTCTAAACTCCTTCCTATTTTAATATGGGAGCTGGCAATTAAACGTAAATATGTTAATTTTGTAGTGCCACATATAATGATTTGTTGTTATAAAAGAATTCAATTTATTAAATAATAGCAAATAACATATTAGAATTTCATAAGTGAAATACTTTGTAAAGCAAAAGACGATCAAGTTTCAGAAAATTGTTTATGTGGTCTTCATAACAATTATAGTATATGTATACTTTAGCATACTCAGTGAATTATTCCATGAATAGTGCATAACGAAGATTTTAATTCTCTCAACAAATCTGGTTGAGGTTAGTCTCAAAATTAATGACAATATTTATATGGTAACAAATCTTATTATTTATTAAAATATTTTATTTGACAATAATATAAATAAAAGTCACCTATTCAGACGTAAGGTAACTCATTTTTTCCACTATTCTTATAGAAATTAAAAATTTACTAACAAATAAATACATTTTAATATTAGAAAAAGTTTTGTGTCATATGAAAAAATGTATTATTTATTAATATAAAATATATCAGTTATTTTTATAAAATCAAAAATTTTTATTTATAAGATTTATAATTTTTTATATGAAAATGTATAATATTTTTATATGGGCGATATAATTGTTTTCTTTAATATTTTTTTTCTTGTATAGGCATATAAGAATGTAAACTAAAATTTTATTTAAAAATAATTGTGACAATATTATTTTTATTTACCAAAATATATATATTTTGTATAAAGCCCTTTACTTTTTATTAATTGGGTACATTAAATTGCTAATAAAACTATTTGGAAGTTTATACCTACCATTCATCTTTCAGGGCCTCAAACAATTGGAAAATTTTCGATCCATTGTTTATATAATTTATATGTAGTAAATATATATAATATAATATACATATAATTTATTTATGTTATATATATAAAATATTTATAATATATATATGTATATAATTTATATATATGTTTACTCAATCTTAATTAAATAATTTATATTTTTATTTCAACTGAACACTGTATTTATAATATTTTTGTTTTTGTATTTTTATAGATGAGGACGATGAAAATGATGAAGGATCAGGATCCGATGATCAAGCGTAGGTCGACGGGAAGTAGTCGTAGTCAATATCATGATTTAATATATAATAATAAAAACAAAAAAAAACCCAAAAAAAAAAAATTAAATAAAAACTTAATTTTAAATTACAAAAATTAATAATATACATACATAATTGAAGTATGATGTTACGTTTTAAGAGAAATATTTTATTTCTTTAAGTAAAATAATATGTAATTTTTTTATATATAAAAACAATAAAAAAAACATCAAAGGAAGGTAAAAAAAAAATCCCATGATACAAATAATGTACTTTCCCCTTATAAAATAGTTCTTAATTTTTCAAGTATAAGTTTAAAATCATAGAAGTTTACATTTAATTTAAAGTTAATTAAAACTATATATTAAATTGTATCTAATTAATATGTTACGAAACAAACAAAAAGAAAACCTGAAATTAGACTTTTATGATTCAAAATACAAAACACGAGAAGAAAAGTATTCAAATAAAACAAAATATAAAAAAACAAATTACAGACTCTCAAATTATTTTCTACTACATTTTATATATATTTTAAGATTTTTTTACTATGTTGTTATATTTAATATAATATACATTTTTGTTTTTGTAATACATACAATGGATTTTATTTTTATATATTTCGCATATTCGAAATTTTGATTTCACACGAAAAATGTACGCTTAATCAAATCAAATAATTTGTGGTAGTTCACAATGTCACAATGTTTGCTGCTTGCGCTTTTTACTTGCAAAAGTAGATGAAATGCAAGCGAAAGAAAGAATTGCGTTAACAACACGGGTAAGTTTTTTTCAGTGTGCTTTGTTGGTTTTGCATTTTTTTTCGTTAAATTATTCGCTTTGAAAGCGCAAATTCGAGTTGTGGGAAGAAGTTTTCTTTTTAGTAGTGGCAATTAAAACAAAAACTAAAACACCATAATAAGCATTATTGCATTATTGTTTTACTTCAGCAAATTCAAATTCTAAAATAAAATTAAGCGCGCATATATTGTCTAGATGCGCGCTGTGTACATAAATTGAAATAAAGAATTTGTTAGAGAAAAAAAGTGCATAGAATGATCTTCGTTCAACTCATGAAGTGAACGAAACATTATCCTTAAACTAAAACTAAATTGTATTGCTAGAAAAACTAAAAATTAAAACCTAATAAATTATCTCTTTTTGATTGAAATAATAATATTTACAGTATTAGCATTTTATTGAGTAGTTACTGATAAAATTGTACTTACATAAATATATATATATATTTATATTATTTATTTATTAACTAATTAATATACAAATACTGTACTACAATTGAAAGAAATTTTTATTTGTAGTAAAATACACTTGAAAAAATACTGAAGCTATTAATAAAAAAAAGTGAAAGATACGCACTTTATGCGTAAAGCATAAGTAATTAATTTAGTAACTAATAGAACTAAATAATGTATTTATAAAATAAAAAAAAACTGTAATCTAAATTATATTTAAATGAGTTGAGTTTAACAAATTTAATAATGTATTTATTAAAATACGTGTATTATTAATTATATAGCAATAGTTTTGAAATTGTTTTTAAAACGCAAAAGCAAAAGCAAAAAAAGCACTAAATGAAAACTACACTCAATAAGAAATGTTTGCAACATTAATTATATAGATAATAATTATAATAATAATAAAAATGAAAATGGAGAAAAAAAGTAAGATGTCTATTGTTATTGTGTAGCAAAGCATCTTGTACAAATTATTTAAAGAACAAAGTATATTTAAAATTTAAATATAGAGAGAAGAATATACACAAGACAAAGATACAACAATATTACTAATAAGCATTTTATATTGTTATTAGTATAAAAACATAATAATGTGCTAATATGAATAAATAAAGAAATTTAAAACAAACCCACAAATAATGTATTTAATAAAAATAAGAAAAAAATATTAATATTAAAGTTGTGTAGTTTATATAAAATAAACGAATTTTTAATTTGCCGACTGATTTTTAAATTCCTACAAAAATAACCGAAAAGTTGAAATAAAATAAAAGACAGCTAAATTTGAATGTACTTAATAAAAAAAGAATAAACAATTTTAAAAGTGTTTTGTAATAAAAAATTAAACGAGTATATCAAACAAATCAAATTAGTTAAATATAACAAAAATATACAGCTGAAACTTGGTTGTATATTTAGTATATAAGGGACAAGAGGAGTTGAGTAAGAAAATTAAGAGTCACATTTAGTACCCGAGTCGAGTCACTGGTATTATTTACAAAATATTGCCTGACTGCTTCTACATGTAGTTTCTGGTATAAAGACTAAGATTTGTGGATGTGTAGAATTGATACGCTATTTATTATGCTATATATTAGAAATTCTGTGTTGTATAGTTTTAAATGTATATAAAGTATATTTACACCAAATCCGGTCTAAATCAAACCAAAATGTTTATTTAGTTTGAATTATCCTTATTGCAATTTTAAATGTGTCAACATATATTTACTTTAGGATGATAGTATTCAAATTATTATAGAATTCATAGTAGCATATATTGATTTTGGTTAAAACTTTCACAAAGCTTAGAAATAGAATTTTTGGACTATTTCAAATTTGAAAAACTCCAGAAATGTTTAACACTTAATACAAAATTGCAGATAATCTAAAAATGTAAAATTAAATATAAATTATGTTACAAATTAATTTTGAATTGAATTGAATAGAAATAGCTAATCCAGAGACGGACAGACAAATATAAATTAATTATTAAATATTATTTAAATATTTAATTTACATATTTCTGTTATAAGACAAAGATATATTTTAACTTAAATATCTATTAAATGCAAGAGCAAGATGCTTTTTGTATTAAAAACTATCAACAAAGTAAATTTTTTTTTTAAAGGCATTTTTAAATATTTTCAACAAAATAATTCTTTTTTAAAAAAAAAGCAGTTTAAATTATGTTTTTTAAAAAAATTGATTAAATTAAATATGTAGATTATTCAAAAAACGAGAAAATGATAAAAATAATGCGTTTTTTTTAATAATATATAAATAATGTCTTGGCTGCAATAAAAGTACAAATTTTCTAACATTTAAAGAGGATAGGATAACCGTAGAAAAAATTTGTGAAAAATTTTTTATTAATATATTCTTTTGGTCTCCAAATTAATAAATTTAAAAAACTCTCCACTAGCAGAATTTCAAACATATCCACGGCTAAAGTCTAGCAAAATGATCAAAATAAATTATCAGTGTTCGTAGGGCGTGACACTTGAATTTGCTTCTCATTTCATTGTAATTTATACTAAATTTCTGCCAAAAATAAATACAAGTAAATAAATTCATTTATTTTTATTTATTAATTATATTTTATAAATAGTCAGAAAATAGAACTGGTCAAAAAAATATATATATAAAAAGTAAATATACTAACAGTCCTTATTGTAAAAAAGGACAATTTCTTATTTCATATTTATTTTCCTTATAAAAAAAATATTTTATGTAATTTGTACACAAAAGCATTTATAAAACAAAAACAAAAAAAAACGAACAAAGCAATAAATAAAATAAATAATTATTTACATTACTAAACAAAAAAAAAATATTGAATATTTATAACAAAAAAATAAAAAAAAAAAAATTATTATTATTACATACTTATTTAGTAAATATAATATAATAAGTTCTTTTATGACATGGTAACCTCGATCATGTTTTTGTAAATAAGAAGAGAAAAAAAATGGTTTTGAAAATGAAATAAAATTTAAAACAAAAAAAAACAATAATTATATGGCAATTTATTTGCCAACATTTTGAGATGTTTTTTTAATGTTGTTGAAACCGTAATAGCTAAATCTTGAGAAAATCTGAGTAAAATACGTTTCTTATAAATGGTGAAATTCAAATAAAGGTGGTGAGTTTGAATGCCATTTCGTCGTGACAGTAATTTCGAGATGTAGACCCGACCGCTCCTATTATACTCATTTCGTTTTCTCAGAATTTAATAAGCAACAAAATTTTTTATAAATAATATGAGTCTCAAAGACCTTTATACATGAGTCATAACCGGTACGCATGTTTTGTTGATTAGTCATCCACCGAATGGGAGATTATTATCTGTAGCAAATTATTCCATATATAACTAACGTTTAGTTTATGATAATGTTTGCGTAATTCCAATCTTGCAATAAAGAATTTATAGACAATTTATAGACTTTGTTGTTATAATTCCGGCTGTTTTACCAACACTTGCAAATATTTAAACTTAAAACAGATCGGCACTTAGTAGATTCTTGATGTAGATGCTGCGGGTACTGCAACGATATTCAAATGTTTATTATGAGATTTTATACATTATTAGTATTACCTTTGTATTTGATGTTGATAACTCCCTTGTCAATTCCAACTATACATTAGGAGATCTGGTAAGAGATATACGTATAACTTCATCCAAATTTTTATAGCGTATAAAATTTACAAATTAAGCATCAAAATGAAAGAAAATTAGGAAAGTTTGCTAAGATAAAATATATAGTAAGTATATTATAAAAAGTGATAATGTTTCAATACGACTTATAAGATATAATAGATTTATGAAATTATATAAAACAAAAGTTCACTTATAGTTAGTTATATTTCATTCCATTCTATATAGTGAAAGTACTTGCTGTTTGGAATTTGATGATTTTTATATTGTGATTTTGTGCGACTGATTGGCACTGAGTACCATGCATAAACGCTTTAGGAGATCAGTTACTAATACCCATTATTATTTCTATTCTAGATCGATGTAATTTTTTTCAGAAAATGCTTCCTGTACATATTTACTATATCCTACGGATGTTATATAAATTAAACACTTAGATTTCTTTTATTAATTAGAATTATAATTAGTTGTAATTTGCAATTGCCAAATTAATAGCATTAATTTAACCAATTTTAGATATATATTCATAAAAAAGCTTAATTGAGTGGTTTAAGTACACATATTTCTCCATATGTCTATATAGACATAGTACATTAAAAAAAAATTTTTTATCATTTAATTAAAATTTTTAAATTGCTGAAATTATTGTTAATCGTTAGTATTTTTGAATATATTAATTTCAATTTGTATGTATATAGTATATAATTTAATTTAAATAATTTGTAATAAATTTAGTGACTCAGTGTTTCTAGCTCAGTATTCTTTGTTTGTGCTCAAGTGATGAAGAAATCCTTTTTTTAGTTCACAATAGAGTTCGGACAATGAAAAAGTGTTTTCCAATACTGAAAGTACAGACATGTTATTTTGTATTTTATTTACATTATATATAATACGAATAAATTCAGTATTTTATTTAATATATTTTAGTTAAATAATAATCTTCAAAATTTAATACTTTCACAATTACAAAAAACTTTTTTAATCTTTTATTTGAAAATTTAAATTTTAGATGTGTACAATAAAACACTTCTAAAGGACCATTCTATATAGGAACTCTTATGATGATTTGATGACAATTTCATGTTCTTTTTGGTCAAAAGAAATATTATATAGAAGTAATAAAACAATTGTCAAATTTCCTACTTTTGCTACTACTTTCGTAAATTTTTTAGCACTTTAATTTGAAGGATATATTTATTTTTATGCGGTTATCATGCTACATAGTCATAACATAACACGTATATTTACTTCTAATAAGTATAAATTCTCACATTTATTACTGACTGATACTGTTTTTATCAACAATACTGGTAAATACCGTTAAGCATAATAGCATCCTGTGGAATGTAAATACGAATACACTATAACCATAGTGAAGAGCGTGTAATGTACGGGCATTTTATATATCATACAATATACATATATCCTTCTTTATCGTGTGTCAATACGTGTCACGTTCATCCATCCGACGTGCTTGCACAGAGTTCAATAATACTATCTTCTATTTCAGTTCTAGAAAATTTTATGAAAACGACCCAAATAGTTCCCAAAAGTTATTTATTTTATTTCCATATATGTTATTTTCTTAAGCTGTAGTAAGTTATTAATATATATGTAGCTATCAAATAAAATGTTGGGATTATGTTTAACATGTTAGAATGTTTAAAATATTTGTGCAAAAAACGACAGATCTGGAGCATATCTAGATTTGCAAATCAAGAACGATATAAATCTTCAATAAAGTTTTTCATGTATAGTTCATAGTCAATTGCTATACATTACATAAATAAAATAAAATAATTTTTAAGAGTTTCACGTAACACAAGTAGTTGTGATTTTTTTAATTTAATTTTACTACTAAGGTTCATATAACTCATATAACTTGCACTGACATTAATAAAAACGCAATTAATAAAAAGTTTATACTTCTAATCACAGTAACCGTAACTTTTTTCTTAGAGCTGCAAAAAAATACTCGCAACTTGCGAAAGACAGCAGTTGAAGCAACAACAATGCTCTTAAAATCTTCAGATCTGCACTAAAACTTATATTCTTAAGTTTTAGTGCAGCCAAATTCAAAAATCAGTCTATTGTGAACGAACGTTCACTGAAAATACGAGTAAAATTCCAGTAATCCGTTAAAGTGATATGAGCATTTAATTTACTAATAAATTTAAACACATAAATAAATCTAATATTCATTTTGTTTTCTTTTAATTAAATTTATTAATGTTTAGTGTTCACAATTCTTATATTTTATATTATATACAACACAATAAAAAACATATACAAAAAAAGTATTTAACATATTTTAAAAGTGATGCCAATTTTTTTCAAGCAGACTTAACGCTGCTTTTTTACAACTGTAAAAGAAAAAATGACGGCTAATATTTCTTTTCTGATAAAAGAACCGAAAATTAATCGCCAGTTGAAATTGTTGCATGTGTATTTAAACTTTTTTTTGAATGATTTTTTTATTTTTGTTAAATTAACCGTTATACTTGCAATAAAATAAATATTTATTGTTATTATTTTTATTTTTAATAATATATAAAATGAAATAAAACTTTATACTTAAAATTTAAGTGATATGTTTATTTTTCTTTAAATTCGGAAATTTTAGTGTGTATTTAAATTTTTGTCCCTGACTGTATATTGAATAATATCATACTCTATTGGTGAAGTCATCTAAAACAGCTGTTAATTTTAGAGTAATGAAACGCTACTCTAGCAAAATATCTTAAGTGTTTTAAATAAATCTTGAGTGTTATGTATATTTCGCTCAAAATTTACCAAATAAATATAAATATTGTAGTAAGAGTGAATCCTTATTGAATCAGTTACCCCAGATTTACCAATTGGAAACGGCAAGAGAATACCTCTATTTGGCTACAAGTCATATTAAATTAAAGTTCGTAATTCGCAATTTAGAAACATTTAGTAGTGATATAGGTGTATCCACACCAAAGGGAACGCTTGCGAACGAACGAACATCTGCAAAAGATCGTTCGTTCGCAAACATTCGCTTTGGTGTGGACGCATCTTATTGTGAATAAGAGAACAGAACAAAATTTTGCTACAGACACGAAATGTTTTTAACTCATCGGTTACACGCTTGTCATTTTTATATACGATCACAACTACAAAAACAGAAATTCTGGGAAAGAGAATAAAGTAAAAAAAAAAGAAAGGTTATGATCGCAACTACAAAGACACAATAAGAGACTGAATGACAACAAACAAATGTGATATCGTCAAAACGGGATTTTACAAAGTGAGCAAACTCTCGCTTATGCGAGAACAATAATAAATATAAAATAATAATTAATATAAAATAATTTTTTTTATAGCAAACTGTCAATTTGAAATAATTTTTAATATAACAAACTTTTGTGAATTGCATTGTGAATGATAATAAATAAGTTGGCTGTATACTCAATATGTCATGGCTGTTATCAAATTAATTTTGTGCCATTGGACTTGTAAATAAAATCAGAAAAAATATCCTCCACTTACACTTCACTTTCAAAAAATGGATAAAGATTCTGATAGCACAGTTACATCCTTAGACGAAAATACTGAAAACTTTTGCACGAATCAAACGCGTGATATATTAGCTGAAGGCATTTTAAATTTGTTCAAGCCCAGCGTTGAGAGATTGGACGAGAGGATACATGCCACCAAAGCAGCACAGGCCGAGCTAAAAGTGGAGTTGGATGCGCTATTTGCGCAATTAAGGGAAATTGAAAAAGCACAACATAATATACCAGAGTTCTCGGACAAGGTGAAAGAGCTCATTAACGTTAAACATAAGGTAACTGTCATAACTAATATTCTGACCAATAGCCAGGAACGTTTAGCAGGTTTACATAAATTAATAGAAAAAGAACAGCGTCGAAGGCAGGCATTACTAGACTCGGCATTGAGTACAAATATTTCCTAGAATTGTAATCAATATTATAATATTTTATTAAATAAAAGTTAATATGGAGACACCGTTTATTAATCATTTAACAGCAGATGATTTCACGCAAGTATATGAGCCAGCACAAGATACTTTTTTATTGCTAGATGCGTTGGAAGATGACTTATCTTACTTGAGAGCCATAAAGCCACATATATGCTTGGAAGTTGGTACCGGTTCTGGTATTATTATAACGGCTTTAGCTAAAATATTAACTGAAACACTTTGTTTGGCAACTGATATCAATCCATTCGCTTGCACAATTGCAAAACGCACAGCCAGACGAAATGATACAAATATTGATACAATACGTACGAACTTAGTGGATGCCCTACGCCCAAATTCCATAGATTTGTTGATATTCAATCCTCCATATGTTGCTACGTCCGATGAAGAGTTTCTATATAATGACTTTTGTGATGTTAATAGAACAACAAGCGATAATCTGATACGTGCCTGGGCTGGTGGCCACAATGGCATACGAATTGTCGATGAATTATTGGAAAAGCTCGATAATATAATGTCAAAACGTGGCGTTATGTATATGCTGTTGCTGCGTGAAAATAATCCAAAAGAAATTATGAATAAGTTAGGAAATTTAAATTTCGAAACATCAATATTTAAGGAACGACGCATCCCAGGGGAATACTTATACATTTTAAAAGTATGGCGTACTTCATATTCTTAATGATATAAATATTTTTTTAATTTTTTCTTTTCTTTCCTATTGTAAGATTTTTTATTTCTATCTTTGTAATGGTTATTTTCTTTTTTTTTTTTTTATTATATTTAATAAAATTTATTTATATTCTGAATTAAATTAATGACTATATTAGTTTCCAAAGCAAACGAATAAATATGAACTTGCACATTGTTAAGAGCTGCTATCAAGAACTGCTTTCAGTAAAATCAGTAAGTTCCTTTTAAACTCATAATTTGAACTCATTAAATATTTATTTTACAGATCACACTTAAGTCTAAAAATGTGTATATAGATTAATTATTACTACTATTATTATTATTGTTAATTATTAAACGCAATTTCAATTCCCAGTCATGCACATTTGACAACGGATTTTGTTGTTGTAGTAGTCCATGGGGGCTTGCTTGTAAAATTGCCTTGGGAGGTAAAGAACGGCAATTGGTTGTCAAGATTGATGAGTGGCTGTGGGACGTAAAACCGGGGTTTTTTTGGAACAACGGATTTTATTTGTTGTTGTTATAGCTCGCAAGAATCTATAAAGCAGATAACATGAAAGGAATTACAAAGGCAAATACACGGGTTAGCATGTGGATAGGTATTGGTAGTGTGAGAGGGGAGAGGATTATTTGGAAATTAGAATGCATTAGGAAATTTAAATTGAAATTGACCAGGCTAAAAACGGTGAATCCTTGCCACTTCAATTTTGTCGAGTTCAAAGCTCGATCGAATTTATGTTTGTGTGTGCGTTAGGGCAGGGCAATAGATGGGCGACAATATGAGGATAGAACTGATGTTATGGCAAACATAAGGAATTAACACAATTATGCGTAACAAATAACTTTAGTACATTGTTATAATCTGATCTCAATTGAACAAGGACTGTTTTTGTTGCATTGAAATTGCTTCAGTCTTCCTGGAAGATATTGAAATCTATTGTTAAATGCGCGAACCCGTTATATTATTTATTTTAATAGAAGTCTGATTTTCTATTGATAAGGATTAGTACTTGGCATTGGCTTTCAGATATACATATATTGATATTATGCTTTAGTAATATATTAATATATTTAGTAATATATTGATATTAATTACCAACTCGACAAATATGTAGCTATATGTTATGCAGTATTCACTTAAAGGTCGTACAAAGATATGCGATAATTGTAAGTGGATCAAAGAAGAAAAATGATTCTATCCCAAAATCATATTATGTGGAAAACATATAATATGTATGTTACAAATAAATGAATGAGAAGAGAAGTATTATATTTATCTAGGCCTTATAAAATCAATCCTCTATTGGAATCATACAAAAACAAGGCCAATAGTACCGAATTTAAAAATAGAATTCAATGTGTTCGTTATTTTAAAAAAGCCTTACATATTTCTATGTTTAACTTGAAGCACTTGATACTAATATATCTATAGCAAATGATTGACTTTGAGGGTCACTTAGGGTAATACGAAATAGGTATTTTTTTTTTTTTGACACACAGCTTTAACCATAATCATTGGATATAGTGCCTAATCGATTAATACGTCTGCACAGAATAACATGTTTTCAGAATCCACATTTCGACAATACCACTTTGTTCTGCCTGATGATGGGAGCAATATGAAGAGAATATCATAGCGTCGAAAGCTTTAAGCCCCAAAAGTGTTTCTATGTTTAAGTAATACGGAGCCACTGGCATGGTCTGATTTACGTACTGATTTACATCTCGGATATTTCTATAAAATTATCATATCTCAAATGAATGAAAGACTTGAAGATTCCTTCCATTGAAATTAGTCATAACGGCAGTAGAAGGTGGATCCCATAGGCTCATAGAATATGCAAGTGTCAGAGACCTTTAGTCCCATCTTTGAAAGGTCGTAGTTTGTAGGAGTGTTTCCAGCTGAGAAATTTGTGATTATTAAAGCTGTTTGGATTACTTTGGGTTCTAGGAATTTCTTAATTTCTAAATACTGATTCGGTATGTCAATCACTCTCTTTATTTAGTCGGTCAATTGTTTCATTACCTTTGAATTTCTAACGATCAAGTGTACAGATAAGTGTTACTTTACTATAGGGGGGGTAATAAGTCCGTATATTATATTTTAATATGTTAGGGAAACGAGCATACCATTCCGATGACGACGATCATCTACTTTATTGGTAGTGGCCAACTTTTATAAGTGATTTTTCCAACTATTGATTAACTGGCTTCAACTCCTTACGCCCCTACCGTGGCTACGTACCTGGTCGATTACTATATTTGTAAAGATCGACGAGTTAATTATGCTTAATAGTTACTATGAACTGGACGCAGGTTTTAGGAGAAGTATATGGCATGGATGGCCAGCTTTTAAGGGATCCTCCCTGAAGTAATGCGACACTGGTCCTGAGGGGAAGAAGAAGGGGTGTTTTAGTTCGTATACTACAAAGTAGGATTCGGACAAACCATTCCGGCGATGGTTGGTTTGTCGGTGCATAAAGCATTCCAACAGCTTACCACAAAAAAAAAATTAGTTACTATGAGGTTTTATCGCATCCTCGAAAAACGAACCACGTAATCTTTAATTGGATCACATAAATAACAGGCACAGATTCTTATTAATATATATGTATATATGAATACGAAAGATATCGTGTTGAGGTTCTTTGTTATTTCAAATGCATTTTATATACAATACTCTTTATTTTTCGTATGCTTGTCATTCACAAATATTTGAATATCGAAAGTTTACTGTATTTTGGATCTAAGAAAATATTACAGATGTATAAAAGTATACATCAAGTATAAAAAAATCTAAAATAATATCGATATAACATTAATTCGAGTAAATAAATTATTTTGATTATAATTTTATAATTATGGTTATAATAATTATTGTAATTATTAAATAATTATGACAGATTATCTTACTAATATGCATAATAATATTCAGATTGTACACCTATTGTTTCCCTTAGGTGTCTGTCCGTCCGGAAACAGTTTGGTTTAGTATTTATATTTTAATATTTATATTTATTTTTATTTATATAAAAAAATTTATTTCTAAATTTAAAATTTTTGTTTTAATTTATAGAATATTAATTTTCATAAAGAGAAGTTATTAGTTAAATACTTGAATAAGCTGTATAAAGAGACTATCTGTCTATAGGGGAAGATAGATACATTCAGAATTTCATTAAAAGTATCATTATTTTTATTTAATGATTTAATTTGTTTATGTATAAAATAAATGAGTTTCTGTTAAGAAATTGGTAATTCTGACTAAGTCGAAGACTATTACTTCGACTGAATTGGAGATATAATAAACTATGGATTATTGAGAGTTATTGAGGTGCCGAAATAATTATGACTTAATATAATATTGCTCCTAATATATGTAGTAATGGTTTAATTGATTAAGAATTAATTAAATTTGTTAATTACGTTAAACCCACTTCTATTATTCATAAGACAGGTATATTCTATGATTCTAAGGATTATTGTTGTATTGGATTATTTTATTGTATTGGGTGTAGAAAGCAAGCTAGTAGCATTCTTCATCTTTAAAATTTTCTCAATTAGGATAGTGGTTCAATTGTTCTTCAAAAACTGTTATTAGGATATTACTAAATAAAACTTTAATAACTGTTTAAATATTACATACCGACTTACTACTAAACAGGCTTTTGCAGAGACTAATACCTACTGCAGCGGTTGATTGCTTCGCTCATGAGAAACGGTAGCTGTGTTGCTAAGATCTCTTGCATATATTATCATATTACCTACTTAAGTCAATTTAGAGTTCTGTATGTAGATGGTACTATCGGAATTGCCGATTGGAAGTGTCTAATTTAATATAAAAGGTAAGAGTTTCGGAAAATGCGAACTCAAAAATCTGTGAAAACTAGTTCTAAGTATATATTTTGCTTTTTAAATAAATTTCTTATTTAGTTCTAATAGCAGTCTGCGAAGTTGCATGTTAAAGTTGTCAGTCGATTACAAAAAATTTAGTCATATCAGTAATTTAAAGGAATAATGATTTTGATTGTAAAAAAGTTTTCAAATAGTCCTGAGAGTATAAAACGCACAGTTATTCAATGAAATATCCTTAAATACTTCCGAATTCAACGAAATTTTTATAACATAAATTTGATGACCTACTATATGCAGTAGTTCTATAGAAAATAGTTCTGGGCGTTCACGTTCATGACGTTCAATTAAAAGATCGATTAATCGAGATTAATTAATCAACAATTGATGATTTCCCTATAAGCACATTCGGAAACAATAAATCATTCAACCGTCAATGGCCACATATATTTTTTTAATGAATATGGCTTGTATCAGCAGAATATCGGAGATTGTATCGGCAACTGAGGGATCAATATAAAATTTTGCTGCCACTTAAAGCGACAACCTTTCTTATTGAAAAAGCCACTAAGGCAAAAGTGATATCGGATCATTAAACAAAAATTTGTGTTAAAAAAGTTAAGGAACTGCCAAGTTTCACACCCAGAATATTGATATTTACATATATTGAGATTCAAGATTCAATATAAGTAATATTTTTTCTAAACAATTCCATAACCTTAAAAAAATATCAATGGTATGTGATTCTTAGTCAATAATTTTGGATTAAAGGACACATCAAGACATATGATGTTTTAATTTATACAAAGCAGAAACTTTTTGTGAAGTCAATTTAAATATTTTATAAGTAATGCCATCCGTTTAAGGGATATTATTTGATCTTAAGTGGGGTTTGAGCATAAGTCCATCAACCTAACTTAACTTATGCCGTCTGTAGAATGCCAACACGTGCAATAAGAGTTTATGACATATGAGAAAAAAAAGTCCTATTAACAGATTAATGTATATATCGTGAAAGTTCTCTCAAGCGGTCACCAATTCCCCGTCTGTCCGTTAAGAGAACTGTCTGTTTGAAAGAATGTACTCAGAACGGTTAGAAACGTTGTCCGATAAGAACCCTCACTATATTTGGATAACATAATGTAATATGTTGTAAATGTACGGGAAACATTGTGTTTTTCTTAACGTAAACTTACGGTACCCTTACAGTAACATTGGACCCTGCACTCCAGTCCTTCTTTCATACGTGCGCAACATACATGAGACTTCACGTGTGCGAAATTTCTCTGTGTTTTGCTTTGAATCTTTGTTTTTTGAGAGATAAGTAGGCGTTATATCCAGTTTTGTAACTTTCTGACTTAAGGTGTGGTTTTGTATTTTATCCCGAAACATTCCAAGATATTTAAAATGAGTTTTGGAAGTGATAGTATAGTTGCTAAAGTGCTTGTTACTACTCCCAATATTTTTTTTTTTTATGACTTGACCACTACTATTTCTGTTATATAGGTTGCCAATCTCTTTACTTCAATTTATTGGCGTTTTGAGGGTATCATAGTTATTATCATTATAAAGATATTGTCAGTATATCCAATTGTATACATACATATAATTATGGACTTTTATATGAGCAAGTTGTCACAATAATAGGTTAAACATTGAACCTTGTGATACGTTTCACGTTATCAGGTAACGCCGGCTTGCGCCGTAGTACAGTTACCCATTTTGTCCCAAGGCTCTGGTTCAAGGAATGTTTTTGCTAGTATGGTCTAAGCTTCCACACACTGATTCAGATGAACTTATATAAATATACTTCTTCATATACTTAATTTGTTGGATGCGCGTTAAATGGAGTTTTAATGTCCTAATTAGTATTAATTTTCTCTATCACATGTGGTTTTACCAATGGTATATTTAGGTATTACCTTATCGTTTTAGTCAGTGAAACTTTTTCATTTTTAAATTGTCGTGTAATATATTTACATTATTTTATTTGCTAAGGGATTCGGCATCCAATTTAACATATTTTTATTTTTCTCATTGTCCGAATAGCCGCTATATTTTTTATCTTTAGTTATTCTTTGTGATTATTCTACCTATGTTTTCTAATAAGTCATTTAGTTCTATGATTGTAAGTGTAGTCCTTTCGACGCTCTATAAATATTTTAGTCAGATTGTTTTATTCGATTTTCCTCTTTATCCGTGTTGTTTTTGACTTATTTTTATTCTCTTTTAATTTTTTTACTATCTTAAATACTTTCAGTCTTCTCGGGTTTGTGCAATTATTGCTTATCGCTGTTATGTTGTTACTAGCATCCGTATTAAATGTTTGTTTTTCATTTATTTGGACTAGTGCATCATATTTAGTCATATTTTTTGCACATAGTACGTGCAAATAGTGTATAACGCATGCGATAAAAGCGCAATTTCCTATTTTAAAATTAAGATGATGCCGCGAAAACTCCATGGTTGCACTCTCGAGAGCTACAAAGAGAAAATGAAACCGCGAAACAAAACGAAATTGAAACAAGAGCAAAATCACACTAAAAACAAAATTGGAGTAGTGACTTCATTTTACTTAAAAAATTTGAAAAAGAAGTAAGGGAATAGGCGAAAATTTAGAAAATTTATTTTTTTGTATACCTTAAGGAAATTATATTCCAATAAATATAATGTACGCCTACAATTTATATTGTTTATCGTTTTCTTTTTTTTTCGATACTTGTTGAAAAATTATAAAATCTATAAAGTGATTTTTGTAAAAATTGCTTACTCACTTTAAATAAATGTGAAGAGTTTATATTGTATAATATATTTGAAATAGAAGTAGCATATAGTATTTATATTAATAGATATTATCAGAAAATGTATACTGTATGTAAAAAATAAAATAAAATAAAATATATATAAAAAAATATATATTCGTTTTTAATAGTTTAAATACTAATCAAATATGACAAACATTAGGATAGTCAAATAGCTTAATATTTAAACACAATATTTTTTTTTCATTATCAGAGAGTGCAAATAGCTCCATGAAAATATAAATAAAGTTAAGATTTGGAAACTTTTTTTACTGCTCCATGTCATAAAAAATATGTTTTTTATTTTTATTTGAGGTCTCAAAATACATACCTAAAAAAAACAAACCAATTTTATGCACAATCTGTCAGTATATAATAGATGATACAGCATTCACGTAAACTAAACCATCTCAACAAATTACCACAAATATTTCAATTGTAAAAATAACTTTACGCCATTAAAAGACACGCTTTCGCAATTCAAGTTTAAGGTATGTTGTGTGATACACAATATTTTGGAATGAAAACATATTTTTATAGTATATAAACCCATAGTTGCATTTGACCCAAGTTGGGGCCAAGTTGTACAAGAAGACATATGGAGCTTGGTCACGCAATTTATGCTCTTTTTCAGCATGACCAAAAGGTATACTATATAGGGAATCATATTACAATTATCAATTTTTAACCTTTCCCATTATTTTGGTAGTTTTGTATGTTCTTACATTAATTGTTACTGAGTACACTTTTCTGACCAATGTAAAGAGACGCATAAAGCCTTGTCATTGAAATTTCTCTTTTTTCTCGTTCTCAAATTTTTAATTTACATTGAAAACAGTCACAATTTGAAGTGAGAATGACCCTCTGTATAAAATTACCCTTATAAAAATTAAGCATCAAATCGCAATTGACGTAATCGGGCTGTAATGGCTTATAAAATATGATATGAGATTTATAAATGATCGGATTTAATTTTATTTTAATTAAAAATATTAATTTGACCATAAGTGTCTGTATAATATGACCATTATACCATGTTTCCATTGTCTCATTTAGGGAGTTTTGCTCATTACTATACAACAAGTATTCATATACATGAATTTATTATAAATAAACTATTAAACTATTATAAATAACACTTAAAAATAAATTTCCCGCAACGGAAACTACCAAAATTTCAAATACTTTTCAATTTTATGTGTAAAATGTGAACAAACAAGCTATTTAAATAATTTCACATGCATAAATCAGTTGATGCCAATGGAAACGATCAAATCTTAATGTTATTAATATTAGTAGTTTTTGCTGCAGTGGAAATATGATATTAAAAGTTAAGCAGAGCTATGTTATACTATACGCCGTGCAAATAGTAATGCTCATCGACAAGCACTAAGGTTCTCTTTATTAAGTTTGTTCCACGAGCTACTCGCAGTAAAACACAAGTAAAGTAGAAACTAAAAGCGTAACACAAATAAAATGCCAAATTACGCTCTTTACACAGATTTTTATGGAACAGCTTTGTGTCAAATCGGGTGAAAACAACAGTGTCGCGAAAATAAACAATACAAAAATTTAATTTCCCACTAAAACAGCTAATTCACACATCAACGCCAGACCTTTTAGGTCTGTTCCACGAGCTACTCATAGTAAAACATGAGTAAAACAGAAGTAAAATTTACACAAAAATACTTGAAAACTTGCTGGTGGAACGCGCTTATGTATACACAGTGTTTACTCAAAGTTACTATGAGTAGCTCGTGGAACAGACCTAAAATGTACGAGTAAAGTCTGTGTAGCATTTTCCAATTTCGACATGGATGTTATGCTCTCTCAGATGCTCTCATTTTTTTTAAAATTTGCTGGTAAAACGCACTTGTGTGTATACAGTGTTACTCAAAGTTACTACAAGTAGCTCGTGGAATAGACCTTATAATAATACGTACTATATTTAAAAAATAAGACAGCGCCAAGAAGTCGTACCGTGTTTTTGCTTTCATGACAGTTTTGCTTAACACTGTTTGACATTTGTACTACGACAAAAACAAAAACTACAATAAAGAAAACACACAAAAAGAACACGAGCAAAAATAAAGTGGAAGTAAACTGCTTCGAAATCATTTCTCCAATACAATTGGCCGCGAATGGTTGCAAATAAATTGAAATCAGTAAATATATTATTTTAGTTTGAATTAAGGAAAATATAATATAAGTACGAGATGCATAATTCGTGTGATTGCGGCTAATGTTGAGTACTCTTTTTTGTAACGACATAGAAAAAATTCGAGTATATTTTTCTTTTGGCTTATTAAATATTTGATATTTGATTGTATGTCGAGCAAGTTTTAAATTGCAATAACATGCATAGTCAATGTACAAAATAAATAATTTGACGCGTGATAAGCAATTGCAACTGCAGCTGATCTAACTAAATTTAATTATTCATTTCTTTTTATTTTCAAAATACTTAACTTAAACAATTAAGTAAATAGAATATTACATAACTTGCTGTGCTTAAAATCAGTGCTCGATAATTTGGTTCTTGTGTAATTCGCCGCCATTTATTTATGAAAACAACAAACAAAAATAAGTTTAAAACGTACAACAAAAATCATAATTTCAATTGTTGTTTTTTACGTACGCGACTGCATGATTTGCACGTACCGAAATCAAAACCTCAAATTGCGTTGCTACATTCGCAAGTAACGCAAGTAACGCAACTAACGCAGGCTGTGACTTTCCTGTCAAAGCTCGATTAAAATTTCCTGACAATAAATTCGAAAATACAGAAAAGCATAATATTTCCTCGTTATTGTTCAGTAAAAGATTTTGTGAATTTTTAGACAAGAAATTATTATTAATGTAAACTGTTCACTTATCAAGAAGGACAATGTAAACTGTATATTATATTGTTTATATTGTTTAGCAAACGCAAACGTAAACGCAAACGCAAACGTTAACGTAAACGCAAATTTTCAGTGAAATATAAAAATCGCGCCCGTTGACTTCATTCTTTTATGCAAATCGACAATTTGAGTCTACTTGCCTTGCCGGTCGCGCTTACGTACGCAAGTGTGGTTTGTTGTTGTTCTTTTGATTCTGGCGCCGGAATCGTATTGTGCATATAAATAATCAAATAAGCAAATCAACAAATCAACAAATCAACTCAAGTGCGATAAGTACTGCTTTCCTCCCCCTAGAGTAAAAACTAAAGTTCAACCTACGCAGGAGGATCACCATTCCTTCGATTATGTCGCAGAATCAGCGCGATACCCTCATACATTTGGTGGCCGGCGGGTAAGTTCCAGCAAATATATTATTGTACAACTGCTGCTAATTTTATTAATATTTTAGTGTGTATTTTATTCATTAGTCGCTATTAGCGCTTTGTAAATTTATGTACAAAAATAGTAGCAAATAATTAACATTTGATTGATGAGCTTCATGTGCTAATATAGTATGAACGACAGACAGACATATCTATTTTCTTTACGTACTTACATACATATTATCTATTCATATTTGCAATGAAAGACAGTTCTTGTAGTGGAGTACATGTGCTCTAGTGCAAATGAGCACATTTCTCTGACCCACATATGATTATGATGACATATGATTGCCCAAAAAAAGTTAGGTGAGGAAATGAAGAATTTAGAATAATTTCTTTTATGTGTGTCGTCATCATCCTGATAAATTTTCTATTTCACAACGTTTTCTTCGTTGTTTCAGTATATGCTAATAATACAATCACAAACTGAAAATATTATTAATCTTATTAAACTTCACCCGTGAAGTTTATTTCGGCTCAAAAGTTTGTAAATAAAGACTTTGCTTTAGATTAAATTCTCACATTAGAATTGTTAAAGAGGTTTTTCGAACAGTAGTGAAACTACAACAACAAACATTCATTTTTATATTATTTTAATTAATTAAATTTTTGGCTCATCATACAGACGTTTTGAGTATTGTCAAATACCCATCATCAGTGGTCTTGGAAGTAATTTTTGTATTTAATTTATCGTTAATTATTTTTTGAGATTGCAAGTATCAGGGATTGAACTCGTGCCCTGCCAAATTTAAAGTTCAGAATCAGCGCTCCTTAACCAACTGACCCAAAGTCGTACTTGACTTTTATGTTCAACTGTTTTTCTGGAGTTTTGTTACTTTGCTGTGAAAGTTTTATTAACAAATTTACTTCCTGTGTTTATATTAGAACGAAATCATAAATCAACTGTAGAATAATTGAATTAACTAATTATATTTTTTATTTTTAATTGTTAAATTTCAATACTATTCTGTTTGTAGAGGCATTATTAGTTGCATGATTTATATACTGAGAACCAGTGACGACGCGTGCCCTATCTGGAAGGGTGTGCGGCCCTTCTTTAATGTTGTTTTTACATGTACCACTTATATTAAAATATATGAGATCTTTTATTAATAATAACTATATTATATAAGGCAACAATATATTCGTGCAATATTATAATTACAATTCATTAACAAAATAACATATTAAACAAATTAAATTAATAATTTATATACAAGTTTAATATTATATCAATATGGAAGAAACAAAACTTTTCACATAATTCTCGTAACATCAAACCAAATTTTTTCAAACAAAAGAGTTTGTACTTAGAAACATACATGTTTGTGCAGTGATCAAACAAAATCGAAACCACTTGCAATGTGCGCACAAGTACCCCGCACAATAAGAACAGAAATTCGTTGGTGCTGCTGTTAAAAGGGGAGAGACGAAATGTGATAGAAATGTATGGTGAGATGAGCTGCAAACTTCAGCCGCTCATGCAATCACTTTGGCAAATCATCATGTTGGATTCGTATGCATACAGTTGATATTCGAATAGAACAGAAAATTACTCTCATACAATTCCCACTATATAAATCTCTATTTCTGATATTACGAACGGGAGCACACGCACATTATTTTGTTCATATGCAAAATATGAATGTGCGTCCAACTTCTTTGCACACAAAGGGGAGAGACGAAATAAAATATAAATGTCTGTGATTTGAGCTGCAAATATATGAGCACAACTAACAAGTATAGCAGCTAACAGAAGCAAATTGATTGAGTTTTCATAGACAATTATATTTAATTGTTTTTGCTAAAACTTTAAAAATATATATTTATATGGAAATGTAATAAATAATAATAATTCTTGATGTAAAGATACTTAATAAATTTATATACCTATGTTATTTAACATTTTGCAAATTATATTAGGGTGTTCACCGCACACCTCCGCACCTTAGAGCAGTCGTCACTGCTGAGAACGTCATGGTAATGTTACTAATAAGGACCTAATAAGGGTCCTCAAGCTCTTTCGTTACATAGCCTTCACATTGAAGATAAGTTTCTAGGAACTTTGCGCCGATGAAGGTTATTTTGCTACCACAACAATTAATAATATAATTTTTTAATATTTGTAATATTATTTTCGTGGTATTACCCAATACGTCATCGTTGATCTGATCAACCTTTTGTATATTTTGTTCTTTAATTTCTGTGGTATTTTCTTGTGATAACGTATACTAGGTGTTGCTCTCCACTTTTATCATTCACATTGAATCCGATATGTAATTTCTCATTCTTTTGTATCATTCAGATATGCGAACTCAAGTGTTTAGAGGCATCAGTTTGAAATATTGCAAAAGTAGCTGTAGTATGCACTATAGATATTCATATGAATATCTTGATATAAATATCTGTATAGTTATAATGTATAATACAATGTAACAATAAATATGTTAATATTGAACTTAAATAATAGAGAATATATTTACTAGATACGTAGCATTGTTGAGTTAAATGTTTTAGAAACCTAACTCAAATTAGACCCTTAATAAGATTTATGCTTCGTTGGTAAAAAAACAGTGTAAATATATAAGATATTTTCTAAATACTAATAACCTATCCATTCCTCATTCTTCTTTTTTTTTTGTATGAGTTCATCATGAGTAGAGAATGTTTCGTCTAATCGCTTACAATGAATGTATTTATACAGACAAAAATTTTTCTTAAAAAAAAACTATATATGTATGAACAATCAACTAATAGAGCATATTATCTGTAATCCAACTGAAACCGATAAGTTTAAGTAGTAAGAGGTAATATAAGCTGTACTACTTAACACTTAAATAAATGAGTTTAAAACATTTAATTATTTCCATAAAAAAATACAACTCAATGGTCAGTATGCATAAGAGCTATATACAAATTTGTACCGATCTCATACAAATTGAACAAGGATATCATCTTGTGTTATTTAAAATTATAACATTTTCAGTTTCTTTTATTCTGGATTTTCGTAAATTCTCTTCACATTAAAGAGAATTTTCTAAATATTAATTATGATTTCTATATATTCTTGGTCTTCAACTAATAGAAAATAAAATGTTTAATGCTTAATTATTTAACAATTCATTATCATAAATTTCATAATTGTAGAACCATTCTTGATTAAACTTTTTATGGTTAGCTGATAATGATAGGTCCAAATCCTGACCCATAATATAATCTTTTTAAATGATATCAATTGCTTTTTATTGCTTTTTATTAAATACTAATAAACTTCTTAATACAAATGCTTCATTGCTTTATTTTTTTTTTCAAAGTCCTCTAAATCTAGTAAATGGATTGTGTAATTTGTGATTTTAAGAATGGTTTCCAAATTGAAACAAATTTTTAAAATATTATTAATTTAGTAAACATAGTCAGTAGAGACCGAGTAACTTTATCTATAATAATGTATAAGGTTCTTCAAAATTTTGACGATTTTTTAATATTATATATTCTATCTACATTACTAATATACAGATTTTCTAAAAAATATAACAATTTTTTTGAAAAGGTCACAATGTAATTAGTTCAGTCATTATGCCGGATGTTTGTCATAACTTAGAACAGTTTTTCATATGCAAACCATATTTTCGTATCGAGTTATTACAAAATTTTTGAATATTCTTCGTAGTTTATTATTTTTTTTAATATCAACCAATCAATCAATATTCTCGCTGTAATCTGATGATCTTAGTCATTCAAGTATATGAGGTATTATTTTTTCTTCTAACTTGTTAAGCTGTTTTAAAACAACCAATCTTAATGTCTGTGTTATATTTGTGTCCAAGAATTGGTTTCACAAGTGTTTTACTCATATTAAACTCATATCATGTTTCCACTACAGCTAAAACTACTTATGCTAAGATACTGTCGTTTCCATTGGCATAAGTTGATTTATGCATGTGAAATAGTTTGTCTGTTCATATTTTACCTATAAAACATATGAAAAATATTTCAAAGTATGGTAATTTTTTTTGTAAGTAATTTATATTTAAGTGTTGTATTCTTCGACATCTTGCGTCTTAAATGAGTTGATTTATTTATAATAAGCTCATTTATATGAAAGCTTTTTGTTTGGTAAATTATCTTCATCAGCAGCCTTAATGAGTAAAACTGTCTAAATAGGTCCTTTTGAACGATTTAGTTTTTGATGTAAATAGTTTTGTATAGACAAAATTATTTGTGCTCTTAAATAATCAACATTGTAGCATTTTTTCAGTTATTTTTAAACCTATTCTTTTCATTAAATAGTTAGTTCCTAAGATCGTACTTAATTCTCTTCTGTTATTTGTTAGAATTGTTTGATTGTAAGCGTACGCATATAGCTAAGCAGTAAGCAGTATAGCTAACATAATCCCATCATGATCTATTTTGTTAATTCCTTTGTGTTGCTACAAAGGTGGTTGTAGGTGCCCGTATATATCTGCCTGTGTAGTCGTTTTTGAGAGTGCTGAAAGAAGGCACTTGGTCGTCGAACTACGAGTGGTTCCTAGATGTAGACCCAGTCATTCTTGGAACCTTAGTACGTTAAATGCTATTGTTGATAGAGTATTTTCTTGCATTTGTGTTAGTGTCAAACATGTTATTCTAACAGGCTTTGTAGTATCGTCCTGTCCTATTAATGTTACTGCAATTTCAGTTCTGTTTACATTGTCAAAAACATGGCTAAATTCGGTATACATTTTAAATGTTGGGAGATAAAATATTGATCATCGGTAAATTTTTTTTTTACCAAATGTGGCTCGTCAAGTCGTATGACGGATACCTATTATATTATTAACAATAACTTTTCATACGAAATAGGTTAGGATGGTACTGTAATCTTATAGTAATAGTATATAGCGTATACTACAGATTATCTGCAAATCTTGAGTATCATACGAAATAGGCTAGGATGGTACTGTATTCTTATAGTAATAATATATAGCAT